TTACCTAGATCTCTCCCCGCATTGTCTTTACGATGCAAAATTAGGTTTTCCTCTTTTGACCTTTTCCTTCGGATAAATCAAAGAGCGGTTGTGAACTAAAGATGCGATTCAAATTAATTAATAATTTGATATCATATTCTAACCGCAACAATCTCCATCAGCCTCAGTTGTGTGACCAACAGAGTTGGTTTATGCTGCTGGATTCTCCTCTATCGATGTCCTCTGGAATTTGTTGACCTTTAGAGGGCTAAACAGAGGCATCGAGTCAGTAGGATTTCCAGCAGTCGTTGTGGCTTGATCAACATCTACATTAACAGTCGTGTCGACCGTATTGTCCTGCGCAATACAACATAAATAAGACACCCATGTAGAAAAGGAAAATATATAATGTTTAGAGAGGGACAATAAAATACCACAGTAGTATCTTGTGCTGAAGGGACTTTGGTGGCTACAGTGGAGAAAGAGAAACAAAGGGACGAAAAGGCGATATTTATAGGCAATGATGCATGAATGGGAAGAGGCGAAATGGTCGTGATCTGAAAGTTAGTGAGGGTGGTTCAAAGACCCATGACGTTGGGATGTGACCAACATGATTAGCCGTGTCTTGGAAATCGTGGCGCAGAAAGGCGCCATCATTACTTCAGACTATAGATGACGCGTGGAGGAATCAACAAAAAGCTATGATGATTTTTGTTGCATCATACCTAAACATGGTCGAAATTCCATAGAACCAAAACACTCAGTTTCTTGGTCGACAGAGTATCCCGTCAAAACTGGGTTTTGAGGGGGCATCTTGTTGACTGGAAGTTTTGACCAGAGAGCAGCGACATAGAGATTGGTCGACAGACTAAGTAAACTGTTGATGAAGAGGGTCGACATCGACAAGAAGAAGATTGTTGGGTCGACCCCAGATGGTGTCGGTCGACTGGGTCAACTAAATTCCATGCAAAGAGACAACTATTTGAGCGGGAAATGGATTTGAAATCCAAGGACGTGGGAAGTTATAAAAGTAGTGGGTGAACACGTGACATCACCATATTCAACATGATAGTTATTTATTTCCCTATTTAAAGCAATGCATGTTTTCATTTTAAAGGGGCGCGTTTTTGTAATACTGTAAGAAAAACACCCTGAGTACCAAAGTGTTATGAGAAAAGATTTTTCACTCCTACAAGATGTACGATCGCGTCCACATTTCTTTTTTATAAGCAATTTATGTCATTAATTCTAAAAGTGTTTTTGCCTTGTTTTTACTCATTTACATAAGTTATTTCTCTATGTTAAAGGTTGTTCGCGCGAAAACTACGTGCGAACAGCGGTTAACAGGGTGTATTAGGTGAATCGACCTGCAGGCCCTTTGTTATCGCGGGGACGGTCGTCTCGTCGCCTATCCCTGTCCCACCTGGATGTTTTGCTTCGTCTTTCTTTGATGCTCTGGAACTCTCTTGGTCCCTAGAATATATGGATTTATACGCGACCTCCTTTTCTTTGTATTGAATATAAGATTGTGCTCTACGAAGAAGCTCAACTAGAGAATAAGGAGGTTTGATCCCTACTGCCTTGCAGAAGTCTCTTTTCGGCCTCAGTCCCTTTTCCAGTAGATGTTTTTTCATATGGTCGGTTGTGCAGATTTCGACCGCTTCCTTAGTGAATTCGTCGACGTAATCGCGAAGAGGTTCGTCCCTGCCCTGGATGATACCCTCAAGTGTGGCTTCGGATTTCGGATGACGCCTGGAGGCAGTAAATTTTTGGGCAAATTGTTCCTTTAGACTCCTCCAAGACGTGATCGAGCCCCGAGGAAGGCTCTTATACCAAGCCATAGCCCCTTTCATGAGGGTGATGGGGAACAGCCTGCATTTGATTGCTCCAGTGGCATTGTGGTAGTGCAGCATGGCTTCAATGTTTTCTATGTGGCCACCAAGGTCGGTAGTACCATCTTAGAGAGCCAGAGGGGAAGGTTTCTCCAACCCGCGAGAAATGTGGGTGTTCATGATTTCCTGCGACAGGGTACCACGGGTGTTGTGTTCGTCGCTCGTGTTGGGCGACCTGCTGAACGAATAACTACATCCCCGACTCCTGCTGCATCGAGGAGAACGTTCATGTCAGCTTCGGTGCTCTTCGCGAGGCTTTTCGGAAGGCCTGGTCCTTTTGGATACTAGGGAGTGCCTGGATCTTCGAGGAGGGGTACGATCGCGCCTTCGGATGGTCTTGTGTCCATGCTTCTCCAGTTTAGACTGTTCTTTGACCGGGGAGATGCTTCTAGATTCGTCTCGGCGACGCTTTTGAAGAGGGGAGTGTGACCGACGAGATGGGCTGAGGGATCCCTGCGGGAGAGGTCGTTCTCCGAAGGTGCTCTCCAGCATGCAAATTTTTTCTCCTTGTTGGAAGAACAGATAGTTAGATTTGTTGAGGGCGGCGATGAGGGTCGTAGTACAAGGGTCAGCATCTTATGGGACGATGATAGGCTCGTATGTATGGTCGGAAATTTGGACATGAGACTTCACGTTATCAGGAGATGTCGGTTTTCCGTCCTTGTGATCAGTTTCTTCGGTGGCAGCTCTGGGAATGAGGGTTTCGCCGCAACCCAGTGTGGCGACGACGGAATCTTGAAGGACGTCAATATGGTGAGAGGCCATGAGATGAAGGTTCAGAGAGATAGCTTTGGTCTTTTGTTCAAGAAGATTGGGAAATATTTATTCAAAAAGACGGGGGAGCTAGTGTTCCCACGGACGACGCCACTTATCTGGAGTGATCAAAATGGATCCTCTTGGCCTTCAATGTAGGGCAACAACAGTGGTTGTAGGAGAGGAGGGGGTTGTACCTGCAAGCTACTCCAATGTCAAAGTAAGTGTTTGGGTTAAAGAGAGAGAGAGAGAGAGAGAGAGCAAGTACGAGTGTTTAGGTATGAGTAAGAATGATTAGAATCCCTGACCCTCCCAAGAGAGAGGGTATTTATAAGATTCCTCCAGCGCGGGGCCAATGTCTTCCATGTGACCGAAAAATCTGGTCGGACAATGAGGGACTACCGGGTGGAAGATCTAGCGCGTGATCTTTGACCTGGTTCAACTATGTCCGTGATTTTTGGAGGGGCAGTTGGTCGCGTGAACTGTCAAGCGCGTGAGGGGTGTGCCCCCAACGGTTATAAGCTCCAACGGTTATATTGTGCCCAACGACTATATTGTGCCTCATGGTTATATTGGGTCTGGCCTTAAGCTGGACTGGATTGGACCTTGCCCAAGTGTAAGGCATGTGTTAGTCCAGTCCAGAACAACAGTGATGTGTTGTTAGATACCGTTCACTATTTATAATATTAAATATGTGATTTAATATTATTGTCAATATTACGAAAATCTATAGGGTCACATGTATAAAGTATTGAGAATTAAATGAATTATTAAATTAAATAAGATTTAATTTAATGATGTGTTAATAATATTTAAATTATTTAATATATTAACACATATATAATTTATTTAATTAAATATAATTTAATTAAATAAATGATAATTTACAGTTAATTGAATTAAATATAATTTAATTAATATTTTAATTATTTTATTAAAATATATTAATTAAATATAAATAATATTTTAGTTAATTAAAATAGCGTAACTAAATAAGATTGGGGTTATTTTAGAAAGGTCCAAAATAAAAGCATTAAAGTTTTAGTAGCACTTTATAAATATAGAATTTCTTTCTCTGACAACTCCGATGGTTATTATCAGAAAGCGATTAACATCAAATTCTATTTTGTGTTTGCGTAAACTACATCGAGACATTGCTATCTTTCGCTATTTGTTATTAAAGATAAAGCACGCTTTAATAGGTATTTTTGAATCATTATTTTAATATTTGATTTGTGATTAATAATTTAATCAAAATTTATTATTGAAATTATTTCACTAAGAGGATAAAGCTTGTTGAAAAACCTCTCTTAGATCTTTTCGGTAGCATCTTTAGATAATAGCTATATAGTTGATGAATGTGGGTTGTTAGTTAGTATTTCTCTTAAATCTGACCAATTTTTAAGAATGTCTAAATGTCTCTCTCACACTGTGAAGATTATACGATATGAACACACCATAATTCTTTTACACCGGCACTTATATTTGAAATGGACTTTGAGAATGAAATTAAGGTGGCACTTATATTTGAAATTAAGGTGTTTAAATTATATCTTTCGAACAAGTGTTGAAATTTGGAAAGTAGCATTCAGATGATCACTCGTAATCATATAACATTTTTACTTAAATCTTTTAAAAATATCTCTCATTGAGTCAATAACTTTGTTTGAAAACACAATTCAATTGCATTTCAATATCATAATCGTCTGAAATTACAGATAATGTACACTAGATGTAGATCATTTGCTAATTTTAACCGTCCATTCAATGCTCGTTCACGTGCCACGACAAATACTTTTCCGTTCACTCTTGCAAGCTAGACACACCTCTCTGGTAGTACACTAACCTTGCAGGTAGACTCCTACTCTGCCGTATTGGAAGAGCTCATATTCACACATCATCAATTTTCTGTTCAATATCGAAATAATATTGTTGACTAATCTTACTTGACCTTATTGCCAAAACTATTAATAAGTGTGGAGTGCTTGCAACTTATTGCTACTATTGTGTGACTACATTTTATTCCATTAATTGATGTTTCAAAAGTATATAATTTGCTTCAGCAGACAATATAAACATTATTCAACCAAATCATATGTAGTCTGCCTTGCTTATTAAAATAAAGTTAGTATGTGTTGTGTCAGAGTGTTCATGGTCAGAATATTTACTAGCTAGTTCTTTGAATCTTCATAGTATTGAAAAGATCCTATCAAGGAATAATAATTAGGATTTAGCTCTCAAAGAAATCAAACTTCAGGAACAAACATGCCTTAATATTCCCTATGTATAAGGCTCAATAATGTAAACAACATTCAACTAAATCAATGCATGCATATATAACTTTACTCATGGGATGTCATTATCTGCTCCATATGATTATTCTGCTCCATATGAAGGTAATTCATTATCAACTATATTCATTTTTGGTCTCTCACAAGTCACAATAATACTCTCATCATCATCATCATCTTTGAATTCTGTAAAGTGTGACATTCTGCCCAACTCTTCGACTTTATCCATAACATGATCTAGTTTTGCTACCATCTCCACTAGCAATGAAGTGAAAGCAGCAAAAGGCAGTGCTTCTGAGAACTTGAGGCTAGTGATGATAATCTTACTAAGTTGCGGCCTCAAAACCTTCTGGGGCACTTGTCCTTCTTTAGTTTGTTCTCGAGAATGCTCTTTGGATTTACTTCCAGTTGGGGAACAACAATCACTTTTAACTCTTGATAATGAGGTTCTAGTTTCTTCTTCATGTTTGTAAGAGTTTGGAGTTCTAGGGGTTTGGGGAGTTTTAGGGGATCTGAGTGTTCGACTTCCACCGTTCCTTGAGCCTAGTAAGAGTTGGGGCTGAGATTTCAAGGCATTGTCAAGGTCTTGTAAAGCTTCATTGAGATTGTTTGAGAGTATTTGAAGGGAAAATTGATGCTTTTTCCTTATGCTGTTGGCCATTATCCTTAGTACTTTTGATACTTCTTGTGCAAGTTTGATGCAAGAATCTCTGTATAGATCACGGATCGACCTTGGTGTCTTCATGAACCATATGTTAAATAATAGATAAATTAAATCGTTATATTCAAGCATAAAATTCATTGGTATAGTTGATTTAGTACCTGAATTTCAGACTGAAGACATCCATGTAGTGCTACAACGGTATAACTAAAATGACGAAGAGAAGCTCCTACTTTTGTGTATTGCTGCCACGGGATCCTGTGGCAGATTCTTGAGTATCTTGGCTCCCAATTTGCTTGCATTGCCTGTTCAATTCTACTCTGTAAGATCGTCTGTTACATAGAAAGGGAAATTTCGGATATACTTGACGAAAAAAGGATACTAACTTACAAGTGTTTCATCCTTAGCTTTAGAGTCTAAAATGGCCTCGTAGCACTTGTAAATAGGATCCTCGCATGAATCATCTTCATTTTCTTGTTTTTCAGAATCATAAAAATATTCCATGACGGAAACTGCATCATTGTTTTCACACTCAATTATATAGATTGAGGAAACAGAAATACTCTTGAGCAGTTATTGTTTTCACAAATGGCACTGTTTCTCAATGTTCACCTTACCTTCTATAGAGTTGGCTAAGCCTTCGAGCTTTGATATAGTGGATTTATGGAGTTCTTCGCCTGACCAGTTTGGAAATACAAATATGCTCATCACAAGACAAAGACCAACACCTATAGTTATGGTGGTTATTCGATCTTTTCCAAGGGTCCAGACATTATCGACGCGGTAACTTGATACAATTATCAAATTAAAGGTCAAGAGAAATATCGAAACACCATAGTCATAATTCTTTTTTACATAAGGAACGAACCTCACGTACGTAGCTGCTGCTCCTGCAAAACCAACCGTGAAACAACGGTTAATCAAAATATTTGGGAAGCTCAAGCCACAAGACAGATAACTAGATCAGAATTACATTATAAGATAACAAAAACTAGAAGCATAGGAAAATTAAAGATTCATGTGATTCACTTAAAGTTTCTTTCAAAAGTCGAGAATATACTTACCTAAAAGAAAAACTGCAGCACCGATAAAAATTGCTCGAAAAATCTGACCTGGAATATCCGCAAGATACCGAATAAAAAATGCCAATGATCCTGCTAACAATGTTCCCAATCCTCTATTTAGTCCTTTGCATAAGGTTCCCCCTGAAACATAATCGATCCTTCATTAATACCTACGAATTTGCGATCTAAACACATAACAATCAATATATACAAACAAAATGTTACTGAGAAATGAGAATAGCATACCTACAGTGAACTCCATCACCACAACTACAGTCATGACAGCCCAGATAGCATTTGTTCCTACCCCTTTGAACAATGGTTCCATTAGATACAACAAAGATACAAGTGATAAAGCCAAACCAACTTTCAGTGAATGGGATATCCTTCTTGGATCATCTTTGCCAACTTTCCAAATTGTCCTTCTCATTAAACCGGGAAATCTTCTCACTCTATCAGCAAAACTGTAAAATGATTTCCAATGGCTTGAGTTTCTCATAGTATTGTTGTTTGTTTCAGCCATTGAAACTCTCATGCCTAAAGTGAGGTGTAGTCATTCCAGGTTCTAGTTGTTATTATATAGGGCATGCTACATTCAACGTAAAGAAGGGAGTTTTTTTTATGTATTTTTCTTTGATAGTGGATACTGCATTGGATACTACTTTTAGAACAGATGAAGATAATAACCAAATGGTTATGAAGAGAAAGACATTGCGGATGCTTTCAATGATGCTTAGAGCCAATATATGTTGGTGCTACATGGCATGCAGCACTTATTTATTGGTCACTGGTCCAACAATACATGTTGTAGCTCATGTTATTGCTTCTATGTTTATTGTTAAATATAAAGTACGAGCCTAGATTACAATCATGATGATTTTTTTATATTATAAAGCTACTGATTATGTCATAAGCTTAGTCTAACATGGTTGGCTACTAGCATATTTAAAGTTTTAATCCTAGTACAACAAAAAAGCTCCACATTCCAATCTCTTCAATCCAATAAATTAGTTGTCTTTTAACTAAAAACAATTCTAAAGGGCTCACATAACAAACAAAACAGACAGCATCTTAAAAAACAGTGCCTCAAACTTGTAACAGGAGTCATTATGAATGTGTCAGCTGTCACGGATCAATAACAGAATACAAATTTAGAAATATTAAGACTAAGTCGTGAACAAATATTAATATAGCAACTAAATTTGAGCTTTGAAATATGAAATCAATAAAGCCAATTTGTAAAAGACTAAACTGATTACAGATATACTTAAGAGGAGTTCTACTCAAACTTTTATAAAGAAGAACACAGAACTGATAGGCATCTTATAAACTTCATATGAAGGCTTAGTAAACAAAATGAATCTAAGAGCCTAACTAGAATCATGATATGGTCAATATAGTTATATGTTACATGTATTATCCATTGAGAATTGAAATGTAGTAGACTTAATTAATGATGGCTCAACGACTGATTTGAAAATCTGTATCTATCATTCTAATTTTACAATGAAGTTTAGATCCTACAATAATCCTCCAGATGATCCAGGTGTGACTCCATGACAAGCTACGGTGGATCCTATCAGCAAATCAGAACTCGCAGATAATATGAATGAAAAGAGCATTCTATCACCAGGATTGAGACTAGCAACCTAATAAAGGCCACAACATCAAAATTATGCCACCCCATGACACCTTCAAATATGGACTTGTTACTGAAATTGTTTCAAGCTTTCGTGTATCCTGCAATCGATGATCATTAAAAAAAAATACAATGGAAATCTTTAACTAAATGTAGAATAAGATTTGAGATAGATGTGGAAACGGTTAATTTCTCTCACCTAGCGTGAATTTATCGGAACTCGTCGTGGTAATCAGTATACTCATCTTCATCATCGTTGAAAATAGCACTATAAAATACATAGGGATTCTCAATCATCTCAGGCAAAGTGAGGCGCCCGTCTTTATCACCGTCTGCCTGTCATGACATTATACAATGGTTAGTGGTTATTGATGTAGTTAATGTATTAAGTTATTCAACAGATGTTCGAATGCTTTTTGAACTATTTATGTCAATATCATCTTCTCTTAACATTATCACAATGTTTAATGAGACGTTACGCAACAGATGTTGGAGTGCGTGCTGAGGCCATATTTTGAAACACCTATCATGTAAATTAAGCATGATGAATGTAGTTGTAGTGATCTATGCACTCTTCATATCTGAAATAACATCACATAAGCATATGTGCAGTGTGCATATATTTACAACTAAACTGTAACTGGAGAGAGAATAGATGGATAATAAATTTGATTTACAATGTTCCCAAAGGGAAAATAGAATTAAAAGGAGCAATTTATCATTAAAATAATTGCAGAAAAACAAATCTAATATTCTCATCCTGAACAAGCAGAAACACCGCAGGGACAGATTCAGATTTTGAAGAGATCAAGGGGAAAGTAGAATTATCAGCTGCAAGCTAAAGTACCTTCTTTATTTTAAATTAACCAACTAAAAAGTAGCAACCAGTATTACCAATCTTCATGGCTATAGTAAGAAGCCTTATTATTCTAACAAAGAAGTGTAACAAAAAGAAGGATGAAGAATTGCCTTCAGAACCATCATCAAGGTATAGAAATATCAGCTTTATTAACTAAATGACATCAAACATTGTTGTTTCTGATATGTTGGCTAATGAAAACATATAGTGATAGAACTCTTGGACATACTAATTCCAATGAGAATCCAGTAGTTTGAATGGCCCAAGGGAGGACCACCATATGGCAGGTTTATTCTAGAAGAAAGAGAATTGAGGCAAAGGGTGAGAATCTGAGTTAGATTGTGACGTGGTGTGGGATTCCATGTTATTCTGTCAGAGAATAAGAAAATAGGATTTAGGGTGGGTAGAATGGGGTCATTCATGTTCAGCTATTGAGTTCGCTAGGGAGAATATCTCTTGTAGGAGCTTTAGGCTCTGGTTTTCCTTTCATTGCTTCTGTAGAGCTTTTAAGCTCTTTATCATTTCAATAAACTCAATTATATTTTTTTAATTTTCTGAGTTACATCATCTGGCAATATTTTTTGAGAACTTTTGTCTCAATAGTAAGTGTGATTGACATTCATCCATTACAAGGGTATACAGTAAAAGAAGACTTCGTAGTAGAGAATCAACAATTCACACTCATATAGATAGTGAGAAAATTGAGTCAGAAAGAGTATTCTATCTGTAACCACATGCTTAAACGGCAGGATGGTCATGAGAAAAAACAAAAAACAGTAAGGAGGCTAGAAGGGAAAAAGACGGGGAAAGAGTTCACAATAAATGATTGGGTGTGGGATTGGATGGAAGGATACAGGTCTCATGAACAACCTGTTTTACATTTTGTTCCTTCTGTTTGAGTCTTCCAATCAGCTTTCTGTTTACTGGGACTGGGAATGAAGGAAATTCTGTGTTGTCTAAATCTGTTTCTTTAATTGGGAATTATTCCAACATTCTCTACAATCAAATAACAGGGTTTGTTTGAAACCCATTACGTTGGTAGCTAGGTTGGAGAAAGAAATCCGAATCTTGACAAAAAAATGGAGAAGTTCTCCTTCTAGGACAACCCCTTTCACAATGGATTTACCGCTTTGCTCATACATGCTAACAACTCAGAAATATGTCTCTTCCCTTATATTCATTTATCTAGTTAATGCCTTCAAAATCTCCTCAAGCTCAAGAGTGTCTGGAACCTGACCCCTATAATTTCTCATCATAGATCCTGACAAGGGTCAAAGGCGCATTTCAATGGCAGCAGCTAAGTAATAATCTAAGTTGATGTCTGCCCATTCTGATATGTGTCCGGCATAAGAGAATGGCTAAGGCACTCTATAATACGTGTGATGAAGCTTTCTTCATTAAGTGCAAAACTGAGTTTACATTGAAAACTAATTTGGTCCCGGCCTGGCCCAATAGGTCAGAATTCCCTTCCGCTTTCTTCTTTTCCTAAGCCAAATCATATGTACCTCTGGTGCACATCCAGTGGTATCAACTCATTGCCCACCGCAGGTGAGCTTGAGTTCGGCAACTCCCATATGAACCACAACCCTTCCTCCCTATAAGTTGATTTGCACTACAATTCTTTCAGCCTCAAGCATCTCTACCACTGGGTCATGTCTTGAATAGACTTCATCCCTGAATATGATTCTTGCATCCCTAAAGACTGGTCAGGTTCACCTCAGAATTTTTCTGGCCAAGTGAACCATTCCAATGAGTAAGTCCCCGTCCCAAGGCTCCCAACACAGTAAATAGACCCACCTTTCTTTCCCTAGAACAGGCCTCTCCTCTGCTATAATCCAACCTATTCCTATTGTTGCTATCTTAGATCTGATTGGTCTCTGAAATATCATTATGGTTAAGTCATTTTGTCAATTTCCAACTTGAAATTATTACATCAAGCATTAAACTAGGGATTATAAGGTGGATAGGTTGGTTTGAAGGGAAGGACATAAGGATTGGAGTAATAAGGTGGTCATAGATTCAACTTTCCCTTCCCCACCAACATAACACGCTAACATTTGTTGTTAAGATTACATTAAGCATTAAACACCATTTATATTACATATTTCAGTTACTTTTAATTGTGATTTTGAATTTTTTGATTTGATGAGATGCAATTTTAATTCAAAAATTAGCTCCATGCTTCCCTGTTTGAATTATGATTTGATAACTATGGACCTTTGGTTATTTGTATATTCATGTGATTTCACATGATCAAATGACACCTTTGTCAACAATAAGTGTGTAATTATTGTAGGGTGTTCGCTACCTGTGAAATGATATATTCTGCCTGTTGCTTTGCATAATAATACTCGGACGGATGGAGTTTCCCAATTATAGGCAGTAGTTCAATTTCTGACAAATACCTGCACAGATAGAGATGAAAACCCATAAGTGAATGATAGTATACGACAAAGAAACTGCAATAATGTTCCAAATAAAGAATATTAAGAATGAAAAATAGACAAATACCCATCACCATCTTGGTCAAGCTGCGCAAACAATTTTTTAGCTGGAACATCCATTGGATTATCAGAATGGTGGGAATCAGTGTGACTTTCTTCTTCATCATAGTTTCTTACCAAATCAAAGAGCCCGTGAAAAAATTCTTTGAAGTTGACCTTCCCATCTCTATCTGAGTCTCTTTCTCTATAAAGAAATAAAAAGAGTACATAAGCATGAGTATGCCAAGGCAGTCATACAAATGAGCTAACTGTCTATAAGCTGAAGATCTCCCATTCTCTTAAGAAAAATAAAATTAACTAAAATATAAATGTGTTTATATTTCTAATATTTCTATCAGAAAAAATTCCAATATTGTAACTTCTTCTAGATGAGGCCAGTGACTGCAACGGAAATTCAAAAAACTAACTGTAACCATCAGCTGGGCTAGCCCAAGACGATTGAAACATTCAACTTCAATTCTAATTGGTTTCATGGATTTGGAATTGGATGACCACAAGAAATCCAATCTTCTGTGCGCAAG